AAAACTTTGGAAAATAGGAAACTGGAACTCTTCACACTATAGCTTGGTATTCATTTTATTTATAGATCCCAAAATGGACTGAGCGAAGTTTTAAAGAAAAAATACATATATATAATTTCTAATTTTCATCTTTCTTCATATAAAGACAAGAAAATTCTAAATGATAATCAGTATTTTTGATTCAAATTTCAAAAAACATTTAATTACATTCTGTAAAATAATTGGCATGTACTCAAAATTTCAAGCTCAAGGAAGATAAAGAAAATCTGAAAACTATTCCAGATTAAAGGATACTAAAGACAAATGCTAACTAAATGCAATGCTTAAATATTTTAAAGGAAACTTTTGGAACAATTGTGAAAGCTTCTGTGTTTGCTATCTGCACTAAGGCTAAGTATGAGAATATTCTTATTAAATAAACAGAAATATTTATTAAAAAACAATAAAACAAGTGCAGCAAATGTTAATAATTGATAAATCTAGTTGAAGAGTCTATTGGCATTCTTTGTTCTTTTCTCACAACTTTTCTATAATTTTGAAATCTTTTTATAAATGTAAGTATAAAAATGCTTTTTAAACAGTGCATGTAGCAGATGCTGTTCTAGGTAAACAAGAAAATAACAGCTAAAACAAGATTGAAGCAGTAATAAAAAAGCTTCCGACAAAAGAAAAAAAAAGCCCCAAAACAGATGGATTCAGAGCCGAATTTTACCAGCCCTACAAAGGAGAGCTGGTACCCATACAGCAGAAATTATTCCAACATTGAAAAGGAAGGAATCCTCTCCAACTCATTCTACAAAGCCAGTATCACCTTGATACCAAAGTCAGAAAAGGACACAATAAAAAAAAGAAAACTACAGACCAATATCCCTTATAAATATAGATAGAAAAATCCTCAGTAAAATACTAGCAAACTAAATTCAACAGCACATCACAAAAATAATCCACCATGACCAAGTGGGCTTCAGTCCAGGGGTGCAAGGATGTTTCAACATACGAAAATCAAAAAATGTGATTCACCACATAAACAGAAGTTAAAAACTATATGATCATCTCAATAGACGCAGAAAAAGCATTTGACAAAATTCAGCACCCTTTCATGATAAAATCCTCAACAAATGAGGCATAGAAGGCACATATATTAAAATTATAAAGCCATATATGACAAACCCACAACCAACATTGTACTAACTGGAGAAAAGTTGAAAGCATTCCTACTAAGAACTGGAACAAGATGAGGGTGCCCACTGTCACCACCTCTATTCAACATACTGCTGGAAGTGCTAGCCTGAGCACTCAGGCAAGAGAAAGAAATAAAGGGTATCAAAATTGAGAAAGAGGTGATCAAACTATCACTTTTTGCTGATGACATACTCCTATATATAGAAAACCCCAAATACTCCACCAAGAGATGCCTGGAATTAATAAATAAATTTGGCAAAGTCTTAGGTTACAAAATCAATGTACACCGATTAGTAGTATCCCTATACACCAATAATGGTCAAGCTAAGAGTTAAATTAAAGATTCAATACCATTCACAATAGCTACAAAGAAAATAAAATACCTAGGTTTAACAAGGAGGTGAAACATCTCTACAAAGAGAAGTATGAAACACTAACGAAAGAAATCACAGATGACACAAAAAATGGAAAAACATATATATCATGCTCATGGATTGGTAGAATCAACATTGTTAAAATGTCCATACTACCCAAAGTGATTTACAGATTCAATCCAATCTCCATCAAAATACCAGTGTCATATTTCACATATCTAGCAAAAATAATTCTATGCTTCATATAGAACCAGAAAAGAGCCCAAATATCCAAAGCAATCTTAAGCAAAAAGAACAAATGTGGAGGCATCACATCACCAGACTTCAAACTATACTACAAGGCTATAGTAACCAAAACAACATAGGATTGGCACAAAAATAGAGGCATAGACCAATGGAACAGAGCAGAGAACCCAGATATAAAACCATCCACATATAGCCAACTGATCTTTGACAAAGCAGACCACAGTATGCACGGGGGAAAAGAAGCCCTATTCAATAAATGGTGCTGGGAAAATTGGATAGCTACATGCAGAAATTGAAACAGGATCCATATTTCTCACCACTCACAAAAATTAATTCAAGATGTATAAAAGACTTAAATGTAAGGCATAAAACCATAAATGTTGGAAAAACTCTTCTAGATATTGGCAATCTCAGCAACAACTAAAATAAATAAATAGAAGTTGATTAAGTTAAAAGACTTCTGCACAGCTAAGGAAATAATCAACAGAACAAATAGACAAACTACGGAATGGCAAAAAAATATTCACAAGCTATATATCCAATAAAGGGCTAATATTAATAACCAGAGCCTACAAAGAACTCAAGCAAATTGGCAAGAAAAAAATAAGCAGCTCCATTAAAAAGTGGGCAAAAGACATAAACAGAATGTTTTCAAAAGAAGATAGATAAATGGCCCGTAACCATATGAAAAACTGTTCAATAAACACTAATTATCAGGGAAAAGCAAATTAAAACCTTACCCCTGTTAGAATGGCTTTTATTAAAAAGTCCAAAAACAGTAAATGCTGGCATGGATCCAAAGAGAAAGGAACCCTTATACACTGCTGGTGAGACCGAAAATTAGTACAACCTCTATGGAAAACACGTAGAGATTCCTCAAAGAACTAAATGTAGACCTACTATTTGATCCAGAAATCCTACTACTGGATAGTTATCCAAAGGAAAAGAAGTCATTTTATAAAAAGATACCTGAACTTGAATGTTTATTGCAGCACAATTCACAATTGCAAAGATATTGAATTAACCCAAGTACCTACCGATTCATGAATGAATTAACAAATGTGGTATCTGTATACTATGGAATACTACTCAGCCTTGAAGAAGGATTAATATTGTCTTTTGCAACAATTGGATGGAACTGGAGACTATTATCCTAAGTGAAGTATGTAAAGAATGGAAAAACAAACACCACATGTGCTACTATTAAATTGGAACCAACTGATGAGCACACATGTGCACAAAGGGAAGTAAAACTCAGTGGAAATCAAGAAGGGGAGAGAGGGGATGAGGGGAGGGGTGAAAACCTACCTAACAGATGCAATGAACTGGGTGATGGGCATGCTTACAGCCATAACTCGAGCATTACAAAAGTGATCCATGTAACCAAAAATATTGTATCCCGATAATATTTTGAAATAATAGTAAAAATAAAATAATATAAAATCATGGTTCTTTCATTCTAGTGGATGAAAACAAATAACAAAAAACAGTAAATAAACAAGATTGTTTTTGAATAATGATACTGTGAAATAAATATAATGGGGTGGTACAATGATTGGTAGAAGGAATTGGAGTGGAAGGTATTATTTATATTTGTGGATAAAGGACAACTTCTCAAAGGAGATGATATTTAGCTGAGTTAATCATTGGGAGATCTTAAGAAAGGACATGCAGGCAAAAGTCTTTAAGGTTGGACAACATTTTGTAAGGACAAAAACAATGAAAGGTCAGCGTAAATAGAGCTTAATGAACTACTGGGGAGTTCATAAAAGATTGAGTAGTTCAGGTAAATTTTTTTAAACTACACTATTTCTAGGTTGGCATTTTGCTTTCTCAAAAACCTCAGACCAAGACGATGCTGGATCTCAGAAAGCAACAGGTAAGTGCGGTCATGAAGAAGAATTCTTAGGTGAATTTACCAGCCGGAACTAAAATGGAATATATAGTTGAGATTAACATGGGTCTTTGTTAAACTGGAGGGTAAATGTGGCTTGGCCTCCCTCTTATGGAGAACGGACTACAAACTGAATTGTTTCTTTTGAGTTAAAACTTCCTATTCTCCATATAAATTAAGTAAAATAATATGTTGGGCTTGAATTTTAAAAGCCCTAATTAAGTTTTGTAATGCATTTCCTGATAATATATAATTTTGCCCAGAGATTACTCATGGACCAAAAAAAAGGACAAAGAATAGAGAATAGATTTAAGTTTTATTGTTTTCTTTTTTCTACAGAACAACAGGAATAAAACAGGTTCAGTGAGATAGGGGTATTGGACATAAGTTTTTTTCCTTTAGCTCGTGGCTCAAAGCATAAATAATATCAAAGCCAATTATCATTCCTCAGAGGTTCATGACCAGAAAAGACTAAGGATCCTCAAGAAGTCATGATATAGATGTGATTTTTAAATCTTCTCCATTTTGAAGTGCCTGTATCAATGTTTTTGCTCCTTCATTGAGTGTGATCTGATGTGTGAAGTGATAACCATCTGTCATTGCTGCAAAGAAATAGACCAGGGTGGTTTCTTGACCTACCCAACCTGTGGCAGAACTGCTTGAACACTTTCTTTGTATTTTAAGACACTTGTTATAAAATGTTTATTCTTTTTTAATTTGACATTTGTTATTACAGATATCGTTGTTCTCTGCATATTACCTCAACTGTGAAATTATTAACACCCTTCTATGTCTTTACCATAAGCAATTTATTACTGTAAAAATTAACTTTATAAATAATATGTAAACTCTCCTGAAAAATAAACATATATTTATTCATAATTATTTTTGCAAGCACAGCAAGTCACGCCTAAGCATGTAGGGCAGAGGAGGGAAATAATTAGAAGTATCTTCACAGCAAAGACTAGAGAGATGCCTTAGTTTGGAATGCTATAATAAAACACCATAGACAGACTGTGTGGCTTAAACAACAAACATCTATATCTCACAGCTCTGAAGTTGGAAAGTACAAGATCAAGGTGTCAATAGATTTGGTGTCTGCCTGGTGAGAGCCTTCTTTCTGGTTTGTATACAGCTACCTGCTTCTATCTTGACATACCTGAGAGAGAGTGGGCTCTGATTTCTTCCTCTGCTCATTTGCGCACCAATTCCATCATAGAGGCCCCACCCTCATGACATCATCTAAACCTAAGACCCCACCCAAAGACCTCCAAATACCATCACAATGGGGATAAGGGATTCAACTTATGAATTTTGAGGAGACACATTCAGTTCATAGCAGGAAAGGCAAAGCTGGGGCAAGGCCTGAGAAGGTAAGTGTAGTGGATATCTTAATGGGACTCTGGAAATGTTGATGGAAATTATAACTTTAGCTTAGGGGAAAAAAGACTTAATGAGATTTGTGCCTTGACTATCTCTCTGTGATCACTTTCTACTCTTTCTGCCTTGCTCACTGTACTTTAGCCAGACATCCATTCTCCTAACAGAGCCTTTCATTTATCGTCCAAATAACTCTTTCCCCCCAGAAGGTTACAGAGCTACATCTCTCATTTCATTTCAGGCTCTAATTGTCTCCTCTGAGCAATCTATCAAAATTTCTAATATTGTGTATCATCATATTCTTCTATATTTTAATTCAGACTATTTATTACCACCTGGAATTTTTTTCATCTATTGATTTTTCTGTCTAGAATGTATAATCTGCCTCCTGCCTTTGACTGTGAATTCTAGGAAGGCGTCAATTTTATGGGTTCCATTCGCCACTGTATTCCTCATTCAAAGAACATTCAGTACATAAATAGCACTCAATACATTTAGGTAGAATAAAGAATGAAAAAACTCTTATGCCATCAATAATAAAAGAAAATGATTTAATAAAAGTAAACAGTAGGGTTGTCCATGACTTCAGGCAAATTAGATTTCAAGGAAGTTCATATGCAAGTGGATTCCAAGAAAGCTAAAGTAGGAACCTAATGCACCAAACAGAAAAAGACCTGCTGCTCTTAGAAATCAGGGCTCAGTAACAACATCCAGGCCTGAAACACAAGATCTATATTTTGGCCAGTAATATTAGTACATGTTCATTGTGAACTTTGAGCATTCTGTTCATCTCATTCTGAGATGACAATAAGGAGCATGAAAAACAGGACACAGAAATATGTTCTTGATTTGTCTTTGCAGGAGTATTGTCTTTCCTTTTGCCTTCAGGTAAAAAAAGTGAAAGTTAAGCTGAACAAAACTAATGAAAAAAACAAAACAGAACTTATACTGACAAAATGAACCTTCTGTTTGCCTCTGGTGAAGTGCCTGTTTCATCCCTTAATCTTTATCAGTTGTAACTTAAAGAAGTCCCTACTTTATATACAAAGCTTGGGTTATTTTTGGAAATGTTTAATCTCCCAGACCAACTGTTCTACTGTTTTGCTGCTGTATTTTGTTTCTCTTTAATAGTCTTCTGTTTATTTAGAGTTAGTTTTGCAGGTCATTGTCTACCATTACATTACATATTTCTTGAGAGTTTGAGATACAGCTTACTCATTCTGTTCGTCACATAATAGGTATCAATAATAGTTATTGAGCTACAATTGTAATGCATTTAAATTTTTTCCTTTATTTATTTTTATTTTTTCCTTTTATCATATTATGGGGGTACAAATATTGTTAGGATTACATATATTGCCCCTGCCATTCCTCCCCCCGCCACGCACCTTTACCAAAACATCAAGCGTGTCCAACCCCTAGGTGCACATTGCACTTTTCCTTTTATTTTTAACATAATTCTTAAATTTTATTTAATTTTTAAAACATTAGCTATAATTCTAAGACGTTCCAAACACCAGCAACCTTGTCTGTAGTTAAATGAGAAAGATAAAATGCATAGAAAATATAATTCATTTAGGGAAAACCTATGGCTGGTCACTTAAAGGAAAGCTTTCAAAATAGGGTTGAGTTTTTGCTAGCTGTATGGAATATTCGAGCAGTCAAAGCAGCAGCTATATCTTCCAGGCCTTCTTTTTGTTGTTGTTGAAGACATGACAATTCTTGTTCAAATCTGTGATCTCTCAACCTCAATGCTCAATTCTTTATGATTTTCATACACTTTGTTGCCTACTGAGAATCTGAATGCAAATTCTGGGTGATTTTTAACCTCATTTCTTCTTGATAAATACAGATTTGTCAGAAAATGTGATATTTTAACTGAGAATGCTGATCCATTTTTTTTTTACTTAACTGACAATGGCATTTTTGATCCAGATTCCTTTCCAACTCTGATTTGCCCAGCTATGAGGCCTCAAGAGCCTTCCTTTAACTCAGTTTCTATGACTAATATCAAAAGTGATTGGAAATATTCAACATCCCACACAACCTCTGAAGATGTTAAAATACTCTCTTACCTAAGAGAGTAACCAAATGTAAATGCATTCAAGTAACACCATAATTTTCCTCTTATTAGTAGCAATAGGTCCACATTTGAAGAAAGTTTTTATTTCACAAGTTTGTACACAAGTTTTTCTTTCTCTGAGAGTGCTCACCATTCTTGCGTATTCGTGACAAAATGACTTGGTTTTCTCAGCCTAAATATCTACTCTTTTTCTTTACCCCCAGTTCTACTGGAACTCTTTAATGTATCTATTGTCCTCTAAAGGACTTCTATGACATTTGTTTTTTGGTATCAGTTGGCATTTTAAGTCCTGAAAGTCACTGGTACTTTCAAAGAGAAGAAAGTAATTAGAAGATCTTGAATTAATTACTTTGACAATATTGTATTGCATAGATACCTATGTAAGGAAATGTGCTAAGTCCTAATTGTTGTTACAGAGCAATCACTAAGGCTGTAAAAAAGCTAACACTATAGTGTTTGGGGCTAATAAAGAAGCCTTATTTTAACTATGCAGAATAAGAAAGTTTCTTTGCTTATTTCTCTTTATGTTTTCTGCATATAGAGTCATGCATTCATATCTTGGATGGCTAACAACCTAACTTTTAATATAACTCATACATCCCTTTCTTTGATGCATATATAATAGTATGTCTTTTTACTTGAGTTTCAATTTTAAAATTGAAGACAAATTATGTGGTTTTATTGGAGGAAATTTTGCATCTCCGACTAACAGCATTCCCTCATTTATGACACCAATGGTACATTCGTATTTTTTTAGACTATATAGGGTATATGGAAGCTGTGCACTTATTCTCTGAAATTATATCTGACAGATAACAAAAATACATTAGAGGCAATGATAGTATATGGAATATGTACTATTAATAAGACACAGCATAGAATGTAGCATCTGACTGAATTTCAAAGAGTATAATGGACATGTTGCTAAACTAGCAAGAAATATTTGCAGCCTGTTTCTTAACATGCAGAAAAGGCTCCAAGAATCAAAAGGGGCCAGATGGAGATGGGAACAAGATACACAGCTGGCCCATCTGCCAAACACAAGGCACTAGTGTGCAGTCCAAGGAGAACTCAATGGTTTCCCTTAGATATTCAAACTTATCCCAGAAAGTAATCTGTTCACTTGGTCTTGCTACACGATAAGCTCATAAATATAAGCATTTACTAGACATGCTATATATTGTAAAATGCTATATAATCACTTTTATTAGCAAAACAATGGTATTCTAGTATTTGATAGTACAGTGGGAAATTATAGTTAACAGTAGTTTATTATATGTTTCAAAGTAGCTAGATATGAGGAATTGTAATCTTTTTAACACAAAGAAAAGATAAATGTTTGGGGTGATGGATATACCAATTACCCTGATTTGATCATTACATCATATCCCAATATCAAAATATCACATGTACCCCCCAAATATGTACAACTATTATGTATAAATAGAAAAGGGATGACATTGGTATATAGTTATTTGGTAATATTTTTCCTGCTTCCTCTTTTTCAAATTGAATCTCATTTGTTCTTTTTCACCCACATGCTTAACTTATTTGCAACCAATTATATCATTTCTTTCTCCAAACCAGTTTTACAGCACCTTTCAAACTGACATAATATGCCAATCCAATTCAAGCCCTATTTGCCCTCTATTTATGATCAGAAATACATTCAACAGAGCCAAGAATCATTTTCTAGTGCTTCCAAGGGCCCACTCTCATCTATCATTCTCCACATTTATGATCTCTTAGTTTATTTTTAATCCATTTTATTGTGTTCTTATCAAAACGTATTTGACAATTTTTATGCACTTACTTGAACCACTATATCAACCACCTTATTGAAGCGTAGACGTTTATTACCCATGGTCCTCCCTTCATATGCTAATTTTTATAATCTGTCGAAGAAACTCTTAACTTTACCCAGCATGATTTACTGTTAACGATCCCAGTGCGTTTATTTTGCATGATTTCATTGTTCTCTAGATGTTTGTAGAATTTCTCTCACTTAGTTTTATTAGTAACTGAGCCATGTTTTGTGCTTGAGGAAAGGCTAAAGTGGATCTTTTGTGAAACATGTTATTAACTCTTTCACTTAAATGAGAGTTCTTTGGTAATAATAACTACCATAGACGAACTAAGTTACATATGTTTGTGTAGGGGCATATGTGTGTATGAATGTGTGTGTGTGCATGTGCACACATAACCAAATTTTTGCACCTCCCCATAATCCCATGCTGTGAATAAGATCATAGTAAGAATAACGATTCAAGTTTTTATTTTTTTGTCCTCATCCACATGTGTCCCTGTCAAGTAAAATGTTAAAGTATTTGAGGGGAATCATTAAATATGTTCTCACATGTATTCACAAATTTAAAAAGACCTCCAGATGACCCTGTTCCTCCCTGAACATGTTAAGTACTTCTATGTCTACCAGTTATTTATTATTATATATCATGAGAGTCAGAATTTCATTACTGTTTCATCACTGTTCTACTTAGCATCATCTTCAATGCACTACAGCACTTAGGATACTAAAGCATAACTCTATGCCATACAGAACTGCAAAACAAATAGGTTTCTGTATTCTGAGTCATTCTGTCACCATGCCAGGTTAGATATGACCCCTTATTACACACTGTTCTTTATGAAATTATCTCTTTCAGCTTCTGCCTGAAACTTATTTCTCCAAAGGCCTCATGAATCAGATAGTTGCAAAGATCTGAATGGGAAATACACACTATTCTCCCTAACATTGTTCCATCCCTCTCTCTGAAGCTCTTACACAAATCTTCCTCTTGTACTAATAATTACATCAGCAAAAATAATACCGTGTTTCCCCGAAAATAAGACCTACCCATAAAATAAGCCCTAGCAGGATTTCTAAGCATTTGTGCAATATAAGCTCTACCC